CTGGGTGTTGTTTCGTCTCTTCATTCTGATTATTTCCTGATGGTTCAAACGTCGAGTTTCGTGGGCCTGGGCCTGGGCCTGGGCCCTGTGTAGTGGGAGCCTCCCGCCACCCTAGTGTCACTGAAGAGCTCTGACACTAAGATGTGTGGTTGTTGTGGGTTGGTGGGAAGCAGGCTCGCTCAGAGTCAGTGTTGTCAGCGCTCAATGTGGCCTCGTAGGCGCCCTTATAATCAGGAACCCTGCGGGTACCGTGCTGAAACAGAGACCCCCCAGAAGCGTGTTGAGAACCAGAGCCCCCTAGCGTGCGCCAGAAGTCAGAGTTCCCCAAGAATCCAGTATCAGAGTCTCTGTTGCTTCCTGCGACCTTGCCGTGAGAATCAGGGTCCCTGTGTGCCCTTGCACCAGGAATTGGAGTCACTGGCTCTTAGTATGAATGCACAGGAAATCAGGATCTCAGGCGCAGGTGATAAGAAACACAGTCAAGTCACTGGTGCTTGGTGCTGCCTCCTGCCCAGAGAATCTGGGTCCCTGGGCCTGTGATACGCGGGACAAATTCCCTGTGTTCGTGCGATTGCTTCCAGCCCAGAGCTCAGAAGCCGGCAGTGCGCCTTGGATCAGTTCCTGGGGTTCGCGCGTTTGGTCCCAGCCCAGAGCTCAGAAGCCGGCAGTGCCTGTAGGATCAGTTCCTGGGGTTCACGGGATTGCTCCCAGCACAGGACCCCTGAACCCGGCCCTATGCGGGATCAGTTCCAAGGTGCTCGCGCACTTCCAGGCTAAAGTTCCTGGAGTGCTGAGGCCCCTGCAAGCAAGGGGTGGGTCTATCAGTTAGTTACTCTGGCGCTGCCTGCGAGCCTGCAGAAGGGGCGATGGGCTCGGTTACTCACGAATCTGCCACAGGGATTTCTGAACTTTTGGTGTCTGCAGGTCTGTAGCTGTGGTCACAGGTCTCTGTCCCCAGTGGCTGCCCCTGGTATTCGTCTGAGATCAGACTGGGTGGTGCTGAGGCCAGGATCCTAGTCTCAAGCAGCTCTGTTTCCCAAGATGGTGTGGTCGCCGTGCCTGTACTGGCCGCCCAGGAGTGTCCGCTCAGGGAGCGGGACTCCGCCGCCTAAGACTGCCTGGTTTAGCAGCCCCTTAGAAGACCTGCAGAATCTAACTGTCCCTAGCTCATACACACACGTCCACACACTCCTCTATCACTTCCTTGCGCTCTCACACTCTCTCCCTCCCTACCTTCCTGCCGGTCGCCATTTTCTTTCATCATTCGTCAGGCCTTCTTTCTGAGCCTTTTTCTTCCCTCTCCCTTCCCATCTCCTCAGTCTATTTCAAATGTAAGCCCCAACTGTTCTCAACAGGAAATGTCTCCATCAGCCTTAAGAAGGGGTCAGCCTGCTGCCTGTTTTTGTAATAAAGTTTTATTGGGACACAGCCATGTGATTTGTTCATATATTGTCTATGATGGTTAGGGTTGTAGCATCAGAGTTGAGTAGTGACAGAGACAATATGGCCCACAGAGCTGAAAATCTTCACTAGTCCCTTACAGAAAACAGAAATTGCCAACCCCTGGCCTAATGCATCCACTGGGTAGATTCTAGCCTTGACCTGAAGTGATCACACTTCTAACACCTGCAGAATTCTTGCTGTTAATCCCTGTCATCAGGGCAAGATACCAATCAGGACAAAAGTAGGTGGGGATCCAATATGGAAGGAACTGGGACATGTAGGAACATCAGCCCTGGGAACAAAAAGGCCTGGATGCTACTGACACCCGAAACTGACTAAAAGCTTGGTTTGGTGAAATTGATCCCACTCATTATATTTGCAAGATCCTGAGATAATTATTACCATTACTCTAAGAATTTTGAAATTAGAAAAGCATATTTATCTCTGTGTAACCACTTCTGAAACAAATACATAGCAAAAGATAAAGTCACCTTTTCGTTGAGCTCACTACTGGCCCCATCCCTCTCAGCCTTCAGACTGAAGGTACCAGTAAATAAAAAAAAATTAAAAACTGCTTTCCAGGAGACAGCAAGGGAAGGAGGTGTTGTGTGAACATGACTAGGGTAAAAGGACCTGGAAAAACCCTTCTGCAGCACTTACCACCATCTGATCACTATATATTTACCTATTGATTTGATTGTTGTTTATCTTCCCCAACCAGAAACTCACAGCATGAGGGTTTGGACTTTGATTATTGCTGTATTCATAGAGCCAGATCAGTGGCCAGAATATGGCAGGTGTTCATTAAATATCTGAGCAGGTTATTTTTAAAAGGATGTCTTGTGGCAATACTCCATCAAATACATCGGGGCAGAGGATGTTGTAGCCAAGGTTATGATGTCCATGAACCTTAATAGGTATATCCCTATTGCAGAAATACACATATATTTGTCTTAAAAAATTTTATTTTTTATGTTTGTTACTCCTTTGACCATTGTTTTTCAAGTTGCAAGCTGTGACCCATTAGTGAGTCATAAAATCAATCTAGTGGGTGAGACCAGCGTTTTTTTAAAAATGGGAGATAATAGGCAATTTTAGTGAATTCAATATTAAATGTAAGTATTCTGTGAAACTTTGCAGGAAAAGTATTTTTTTCAGGGTACATATATTTTATAAAACTTTACAGGTATATCTGCGTGTGTACTGAGCCTAATATAAAATGTGTTTCTTAGTGTAGGTCAGAAACATTTGAAAGTTGTTCTGGGACAAAGCATTTGACTCAGAGTTAATAGTCTTTGACATGCAGAGCTGGAAATAGTTAAGACATTAGGCCCAGCTGGTGTGACTCAGTGGTTGAGCATTGACATATGAACCAGGAGGTCACGGTTTGATTCCTGGCCAAAGCACATTGCCCAGGTTGCAGGTTCAATCCCCAGTGTGGGGTGTGCAGAAGGTAGGCTGATCAATGATTCTCATCATTAATGTTTTTTTTTCTCTCTCTCTCTCTATCCCCCCACCCCCCGCCCCGCATCCCTCTCTGAAATCAATAAAAAAAATATTTTTAATGACAACAGCCAACACTATAGCTATTTGGTGTGAATGAATAAAAATTACACCATTCTTGTTTTGTTTCTTTGTCAGATTGGCAAAAAATATATTTTTTGGTGTGTTGTAGATTTTTAGCAATTAGTTTATGTGTGCCAGGAGATGAAAAAGGTTGAAAATCACTTGTGTAGATAAATAATGTCTTCTGTGCAGGATACCAAAATGTTATTTTTTAAAAGTAATGAGGTATTCTGGGTAAGCCTGGTAGTCATAAAATACCACAAATAAAGTTGGAGTGCTCACTCTATCTGTGACAGTATCATACAGGTCAAGAGGATTTTGAGAATTCTTTGCAGGAGGCACAAGTAATGAAGTATTTCCAAGTGCGTACAATCCAGTGAGGACACGCACATAATACATATGCTTTTTCCCATTTGCGTCTGGTCTGGAGTAAGTATCATGGGCAGAATAATTGGCATTGACAGCAAAGTAGGTTCCCTTTCCATAGTTCGTCGCTGTGAAAAGAAAAACAACAGTTTTAAGAATTTCAATTTGTCTATAATTTGATGTATTGACTCAATGTCAAATAATGTTAATATAATGTTCAGTTCTCTCTAAAGCCTCTTTGAATTTCTCATGGCTGACACCTCCTTTGGAGCAGCCACGTGACTTACTTCCTTACCATTCTTTCCTGCATAACTGCGGTTAAAGCCATGTTGATTGACATGTGGCAAGGAGTCAGCATCTGTCCCATGGAAGAGCAGCCGCTCATTTTGTATATGGCCATTCTTTTCATCCATGGTTTTTTTCTTTGTCTGGTAGAACTGCCAGAGACTTGGATTCTGGATTCTCTCAATCTGCAAATCAATAAGGAAAAATATTCTGTCAGTGCCAAGGGCCTGTAGCAGATACAGCAAATGAAACATGATCACTATTTTTACTTAAATATTTTTATTGATTTCAGAAAGGAAGAGCGAGGGAGAATCAATGATGAATGGGAATCATTGATCGGCTTGCCTCCTGTACACCCCCTACTGGGTACTGAGATTGCAATCTGGGCATGTGCCCTCACCAGAATTGAAACCAGGACCTTTGAGTCCTCAGGCCCACACTCCATCCACTGAGCCAAACCAGCCATGGCACTATTTTTTGTTTTAATCCTAAGCAGAGTATATGTCTAGAGAGAAGAAGGGGAAATGAAATAGAGATAGAGATAGAGATAGAGATAGAGATAGAGATAGAGATAGAGATAGAGATAGGCAATGATGTGAGAAACATTGATCTATTGCCTGCCATATGTGCCCAACCAAGACTCGAACCCACAAACTAGGTATGTGCCCTGACCAGGAATCAAACGCAAAACCTTTTGGTGTTCTGGATGGCACTCCAACCAACTAAGCCACCACTGGCCAGGGCATGACCCTATTTTTTATAAGTAAAAATTACTGTAAACAGCAAATTCAATGCCAGGTGGCAGCTCTCTGCATTCGGAAACCTTTTTACATTCAGTGCTTCACAAATCAAGCCTTGGGGGAAAAGTTGTTTTAAATTTTAACATCTTTTTTTAATATTTTTTATTGATTTTTTACAGAGAGGACGGGTGAGAGATAGAGAGTCAGAAACATCGATGAGAGAGAAACATCAATCAGCTGCCTCCTGCACACCCACTACTGGGGATGTGCCCACAACCAAGGTACGTGCCCGCAACCAAGGTACATGCCCTTGACCAGAATCAAACCCGGGACCCTTGAGTCCACAGGCTGAAGCTCTATCCACTGAGCCAAACCGGCTAGGGCAATTTTTAACATCTTTTATGCACCACATGCTGCAAGCAATATTTAGGATTTTGGACAACCAAGGCAGCTCAACTTCTGCTTCTAACTTTCACTGTAATTACTGCTCTTATTGCAGGTATTCTGTGTAAGCCTCTTTGCCTCTCCCATCCAAGTCCTTTTAAGATATTGGTTTACGTAGCCAAGGTCTAACCATGGGAGAAGCACTAGAGTGTCTAGGCAAGAAGGAAATTAGTTCATGAAAATTAATCTCTCATCTAATTGGAAGAGTGGGTCATGAATCCTGGTGGCAGGGAACCTGGCTGTAGACCAAAGTGGCCTTGCTTTTTCTTTTCTAATTTATTTTTCAATTACAGTTTACATTCAATATCATTCTCTATTAGTTTCAGGTATACAACAAAGTAGTTAAAGAATTATGCACTTTAGAGTGGTCCCCCTGCTGCGTCAAGTACCCACCTAGACCTATACCCATTTATCTCGATATCATGAACTATATTCCCTACCCTGTAATCTACACTTCTGTGGCTATTCTGCAACTAGCAATTTGTACTTCTTAATCTCTTCACCTTTGTCACCAGGTCCCCTAGTACCCTCCCCTCTAATAGCTATCAGTTTGTCCTCTGTATCTATAAGTCTGTTTCTATTTTGTTTGTTTATTATATTCACTAGAAGCCGGGTGCATGAAAATTCATGCACTGGAGGGTCCCTCAGCCCACCCTGCCCCCTCTCACAGTCTGGGAGCCCTCAAGGGCGGGAGGCGGCCCCAGCGATCAGGGGAAGGCGACACCCCATCACACCTCTGCTGCTGCCACTGCCAGCAGGGCAAGTCTCAGCTGGCCCTGGTTACCTGAGCCTCAGGTGGCCCAGGGCGGCTATGCAGCCACCATCTGAACCTTGCATATGTCTCAAGCCAGCCCTGGGCAGCTGAGGGGACTGGGGGACTCTGGAGGCATGTGCCCCAGCACGGCTGAGGGGACTGGGTGCCACCATCTTTGAGGGTGGGGCAGTCAATTAGCATATTTCCTCCTTATTAAATAGGATTAGATTCCACATTTTAGTGAAATCATATGGCATTTGTCTTTCTCTGACTTATTTCACTTAGCATAATCCCTCCTAGCTCCATTCTTGCTGGCATAAAAGGTAAGATTTCCTTCTTTTTTACAGCCCAAAGTAGTATTCCAATGTGTAAATGTACTACCACTTTCTTACCCACTAGTCTACTGATGAGCACTTGGGCTGCTTCCAAACCTTCGCTATTGTAAATACTGCTGCAATGAACATAGGGGTGCATATATATTCTTTTGAAGTAGTGTTTCTCGTTTCTTTAGGTATATTCCCAGAAGTGGGATCACTGGGTCATAAGGCAATTCCATATTTAATTTTTTGAGGAACCTCCACACCATTTTTATAGTGGCTACACCAATCTGCATTGCACAGTGGCCATGCACTGACCATCCTCTATGGGCAATGGTTCCAGGGCTGTGGTGAAAACTCCTTGGATCCTGAATTGCAGATCAGCTTCAAAACTTCCCTAATCAATAGGTAGTGGTAGTTCCATAAAGTTCTCAGAATCTTCTTCCATTCTAAAGGACTCACAGTCCTAATACTGTTACCTGCCATCATCTGGTTTGTTTGCTTTTTCAGTTTTGGGATTCCTATTTTTCACTAAGATACAGTTTGACCTCTAGCTCAAAGTCTCTGCATTATCTTGCATTTTGTTAATCTGATGTGTGATTTTAAAATTTATTTTTCTTTTTAACTAAAATTAAGTTTCTAATCTTTAAACTGCCTACTTCTATTCCATTTCTACTTACCTTAAATTTTATTTATTTTACTCATCTTCCTAAAGCCTTAAAAATTTCATCCTAAAGAGTTTTGAAATAATTCTTACTTCTTAGTCTGTTCATTATTGTTCCTCACCTTTTTTTTAGTATATGTGCTGCTGAAGCTAGCACCCACCCTTCTAAAATTTAGTAACCACACAAAGAAAAGAATTACTTCAAAAAGTTTTAAAAACAGTAATCTGAGTCTATATTCTTAATGGGGTAAATTATAAGGTTAAAAAAACACACTGCAAGTTAATCTTAAAACTTTACTTAGTAGGTTTATGTTAGCAGTAGGCTTCTGGCTGTACTAAACTATTTGTATCAGACCAATCCTCTTTTTTTAAATTTTTTTTTATTTTTTATATATTTTTTTATTGATTTTTCTACAGAGAGGAAAGGAGAGAGATAGAGAGTCAGAAACATCGATGAGAGAGAAACATCGATCAGCTGCCTCCTGCACACCTCCTACTGGGGATGTGCCCGCAACCTAGGTACATGCCCTTGACCGGAATCAAACCCGGGACCTTTCAGTCTGCAGGCCGATGCTCTATTCATGTCACCCAGAATTCTACACCCAGCAAAGATATCCTTCAAAGAATGAAAATGTAATGAAGACATTTTCAGACAAAAGCTTAAACTACCAGAAACATCACAACCAGATCTACACCTGAAAGAAAAGTAAAAGCAGAAGGAGAATGATCCCAAGGTGTAGGCATGAAAATGCAAGAATAATGGAAGGTCAGTGGGCTAAAAGGGTAAATATACAATGACTGTATTAAAAAATTAAAATGTTTTATAGGGTTTCAAATATACATAGAATTAAAACACACGTAAAAGTAGTACAAGAGGCAGGAGGGATAAATGGATTTAAAGTGTTCAAAGTTCATTCCATTGTTTGTGAAATGATAACTGTACTAATTTGTACTAGAGTTTAATAATCTCTAAGTAACCAATGAAAGGATTATAATATGATGTATAATGAGCATTCTAATAGGGCATAAAAATGGAATGATAAAAATACTTAATGTAAAATAAGGTAGGAAAAGAGAGAAAAGGAGCAGAAGTGATACATAGGAAAAAAAGATTAATATGGCATATTTAAACCCAAACATATCAATAAATACATTAAACACACTAAGCATTCCAATTAAAAGATAAAGATGGCCAAGTCACTGTGGCTCGGTGGTTGAGCATCCAACCATGAACCGGGAGGTTGAGTTTTGACTTGGGTAAGGGCACAAGTCTGGGTTGCCAGCTCTATCTCTAGTAGAGAACGTGCAGGAGGCAGCCATTCAATGATTCTCTCTCATCATTAATGTTTCTATCTCTCTCTCCCTCTCCCTTCTTCTCTCTGAAATCATTAAAAACATATTTTTTAAAAAGGTAATGATAATTCATCCAAGTGGATGAATAAAAACCAAAACTCAAGTAGATGCTATTATCTTAAATACACAACTATAGGAAGTTGAAAAGGAAAAGAGTTAGAGATGCCAACAATAACCAAAAGAAGGAGGGAGAAGATGCTTGCCCTTCTCTCAGATAATTTACATCCCCATATCATCCTGGATCCTATCATGCTGCTGCCCCAGCTCTGGAGCTCAGAGAGAATGAGTTTCACTAAACCCGTGCATGAGCCCTTTAGAAGGAACTGCCTGGGATTCTAGCAGCCTCCATGTCACTCAGATACAATCCCTGCTGGCTTTTACATCTGGAAGGAAGTCACGAGAAGTTCTCTTCCCAGCACTGGAACCCTGGGCTTGGGGCCTGATATTGGGCAGGGACCTCTTGCTCCTCATGGGAGTCCTCCTCAACCAAGATATCTCTCCCTCCCGATTAAAAACATGCCACATATGGGGGTAAGAACAGCCCACTCTGCACCTCAACCCTCCTACCAGTCTCAATGTGCTTTCTTCTTTAATTCTCTAGATGTAGGACTTCCATTCAGCAGATTTCAGGTGTTCTGAATGATGGTTGTTCTGTATTTTAGTTGTAATTTTGATGTGGTTGTAGGAGGATGCAAGTACCAGTGTTTTCCTTTGCCACTATCTTGGTTTCTCTCTGGTATATATCTCTTAGGACATTTCAAATCTTTTCTGAATTATTATGTGCTTAACTACATGAATAGACAGAATGGGAGAGAGTACCACAAATGGGGCCAAAAGGCACTGGCACCCTTCAGTTGTCAATAGAAAGGTGACGACATAATGGAGGAAATCAGGATTCCAGGCCAGGGCAGTAGATAGCAAGGTAGTCTGGCTGCACAGCACAGGGAGGACAGGCTGAGAACTAGGCCTCTGCAGTCTGGAGCAATGCTAAGACTTTGGTGTTCTCCAGTCACTTAACATACAAATGCACTTGTCCCAGGTTCACTCTCTTGGGAGAAGCAGCTGGAGGTCATCAGAGCATCCCCTCACATTGGTGTTTGGGGCGTGGCCCCAGTTCTAAAGAGCAGTTGTGGCCATGCAAATAGAAAGTAAAAGAAAATTTGCAAAGAAAGAAAATGTACACCTTATTGGCACACTCATTATTATGGATGAAGAGAAGGAATTCAAAAATCTCTAGCTTTACTCAGGGAGTGGTGGAAGCAAGGTCAGAAAAGAGAAGGAAGGGGAAGATAATTACTTAGAGATGATAAGTTAGCAGGTAGATAATCAAGTGCAGATATTTTTAGTCCACTGGGAATATGTTCTAGAGCTAGAGTCAAAGATCCATATTGGTGATATGTTGATTTGAGAGCTATTAACATTAAAATAATAGCTGCATCCATGAAAGGTAAAAACATTCCCTGGTGAAGTGCAGAGACAGAAGACCAAAGTATAAACCCTGTGGGTAAAGCTAGGATGAGAGCTTTGGAGGAGAAACATATACCAGTGATAATGAAAGGAGAATCAATAATGAAGAAGAAAACATCAAAATATTATTGCCTTAGAAGTCAAGAAAGAACACAAGTTTCAAATAGCAAAATTAATTTTTAAGAGTAGGAGATGCCAAAATACTACTAAATGAGATGAACAGTGAAAGGACTAGTGGGTTTAGTAAGGAAGCAAGCACTGTTGGCCTGTGAACAGTGAGGCAAATGCACATAAGCCAAACCTGAGGAGCCTTCGCCGGTCTCTCTGTGGTGGTTTGCTTCTTATCAACTCCAACTTTGAAGCCATATTTTGAATTTTTATTAGCTTGCTTCACAAAGGAAATAAATGTCTTTAGTATTCTAATATATTGCAATCTGTTATCTTGTAATAACTGACTCAAAAATCTCAGTATTAATGTCTCAGGAATTATGGGGAGATGAGGAAAATCTAGAATCTAAAATCTAATTACCATGAAGTATTCTAATTCAGGGGTAAAATTATGTTAGGAAGTGAATATAAATGTATTTATCCAGGAACACGATACCTCTTATGTTCACCGTTAAGAAACTCCATGTCATCAGAAAGCTTACCTTCTCTCTCTTGAATTGTGAACAGGTCTCATTGAAGGCATCTGCCACTTTGCTGTATTCTGGTTGGCCAGGCTGTAGCTCAACTAGAGAGACACGCTGCTGCTTCATATCACTCCAGTGACTAGGGATCTCAACTGCAAAGTAGACATTTGAGGACACTCTGCATGCAGGAAGCCTCATCTACATAGTCCCCCTCCCTGGTATGCTTCAAAAAAACCAAATATCATGCGTGTTCTTATTTTCCAATCTCCTGATTGAATGTATTCAATACATTTCTTATATTTCTAGGAGAATGTTTTTCAAAGCATGGACCACGGACCAACACAGAACCAACTATAATGCTTATTAAAACACACACACGCACACACACATCTATCAAATCAAAATCGCTCAGGGGTGGCACCTGTGTCCCTACATCTTCACAAGTTTTTATCATGTCCAGATTTGAGAACTGCTGGTGTAGTGCGACTCGGCTGCATATTCTGCTCAGTCTCCAATCTG